TCACTTTGACAACTACGGCATAATATAAGGTAGTGGTGAAATTTCTCCTAATTATCGCCTATTGAAATTACGGTTGATTATAACTATGACAGAATCACTTGTGGCTTCATTCTTGGATTATGTTGTTTTGCCGCCGGTATATTACAGTTCTACCACGACGCACGAGGTTATAGACCAGCGTAAAATAGCATGTTAATCTGGCTATGTTTCGTATGGAGAGTGTAAAGAAACGGCAACTCATTTTACTGGAAACAAAGGATTCCATCTTAGCCTTCAGGGTGACAACACATTTGCATTTTGATTCCTAATCAAGGATAAATCATGTCTATAGGCCACAGCATCCACTTACCATCGGTTAGACTGTGTACTCGTTTGTCACCCGTATTTTATAAAAAAGTGTATTTACAGTACTGTACGTTATCAACAGGGCCGTAAATAAATGTAAGTTCCAGAACGTTAATAAGTAAATTCTTATTATTAAAATCAAATTATATTGGATATAATTCCTTTCACTTTTGACTTGAACCAAAAGCTTTATAGTAACTCCATTGAAGCGGAAAAATGCTCTCGGCGGTTTCAATTAGACGCCTCCAACCTCGTGAGGCGAGCTGTAAAAAGCCGTGCGGTTCAAAATAAAACAAAAGTATAACTCTGATCCAGATCTTAACTTGAACATAAATACAATTTTACATAATAATAAGGAAATATAGATGCATAACAGATTCTATAAGAGATAGAGGATATAGAAATCACCACGTTACGTTGGTCTATTGATCTGATTTGCTTTCACTCAATTTATTTATTGGATATCTGCGTTTACGAGCGTCGTAAAAGGCGACAGAGTAAAATGTATCAAACAGATAATAGACAGCAACATCCTCCATAGTATATTTAAATATATACGTTGTGTATATATATATTATGCATCATGTGACAAAATCCCTTTGGTTTCCGTTAAGTGAATTATCAAAATCAGTATTAAAACGTATAGAAATAACATTAATTCTGATAACTCAACCACAATAAAATATAGTTAAATGTAAATAAATTTCTATTTGCAAATTGTATGTGGTTTTATTACCTCTGCATAAACAGAGGAGTAAGAATATTGTCAAATTCCACACTTTAACGATGCACGTGATAAAATAAGTATTTGATTCTAATTTAAAGTATAATAAACGCGTTTTACTTTTACTCGTAAACAGTTCTTCATTTAAATTCTGACTAATAAATAATATTCAGTTAAAAGAAATGCAATAAATTATATGTGATATTTCATCACTATAGTTATTTAAATAATTTCTACACAAAAGTCTGAAAACTGAGGTTCGAGATCAATGTTAAATGGGCAAAAAAACATGTTTAGATAGAAATTGATATAGAAGCCAATGGTGAAGGTTACTGTAAAATAACACAAACAGGCCTTTATTTTTTTTATGTTTTTTTTGAGAGGGGGCAAACGAACATGCGGCTCACCTGATGGTAAGTGGCTACCGCCGCCCATAAACAGCTGCAACACCAGGGAGGGAATCGCAGATGCGTTGCCGGCCTTTTAAAAAGGAGTACGCTCTTTTCTTGAAGGTCCCTAAGTCGTATCGGCCCGGAAAAATCGCTGATGGTAATCGATTCCACAAGGAAGTCGTGCGAGGAAGAAAACATCTTCTAAATCGCACAGTGGTGGACCGCCAATCATCCAGATGGTGTGGATGGTATCGGAAGTTCTGCCGCGATGTACGTTCGTGAAATTTGGCGGCTGGGATTAATCCGAACAATTCCTCAGAGCACTCCCCATGGTAGATGCGAAAGAAAATGCAAAGGGATGCAACATCTCTCCGCAGTGCCAATGAATCGAGCCGATCGGAAAGGGCTCGGTCGTCGACGATTCGAGCCACTCTGTGCTGGATTCGGTAAAGTGGAAGGAGCTGGCACTGGGGAGCCCCTGCCCAGAGATGGGAACAGTATTTCATGTGAGGCCGAACCTGCGCCTTGTAAAGTTGCAGGCGGTGTGCCGGCATGAAATACTGTCCCGCTCTGCTGAGCACGCCAAGCATTTTAGAGGCCAATTTGGCCTTCTCTTCCAAGTGACCACGAAACTGCACGTCACTCGATATGTCGACTCCGAGGATTCCGATACTGGCTGAGGCAAGAAGGGGAGTGCCTTGAAACTGAGGCGATACGACAAAGGGGTTCTTTTTGAGGTAAACGCACAATCTTGTGTCTTCTGAGGATTAAACTGGACTAGATTTAGTCGCCCCCAATCCGGGACTTTGTTCATCAAAGACTCGACTTCAGACACAAGTTTGTTCCGGTACTCGGCGACGTTACCCAGCTATAAAGTCAGAGATAGCGAAAAAGTGAAAGGGAGAGAGAAGTGCGAAGTAGGGTATACATGCTTTACTCCAGCTACACGCTCTCATCTTCATAAAAGATTTCAAGTGTTTCGGTTTGTGGAAATCGGCAGATTATGTTTTTTTGTTATTTTTGCATTATTTTTTTTTTTAAAAATCAACCACTCTAGAATGTCAAATTACGTTCTTTTTGCAAGTTTGTAACGCTCAAATTGTCAGATTTTGTAAATGTAATATTTTGAGCTCGTAATTAACTCCCCTTACCCTAATCTGACGCATTCGCATCTTGACGAATTCACTTAGTTGTTGTTGTTTTAACTTTCGTTAATCATTTCACCATTTCTTGGGCTACCATTTAATTAGGGAGGCGGAAAATGCATTACGCATACCACGATAGGCTATCCATCGTGGCTATGGGGGACTCACGCCTAACCGGGGAGCCTAAGTGATACCCCCTAAAAACCGCCTTTGGGGATTGACAACCAGCTGTTATTAATCACAGCTTTTTTGTAGATTTTATACTAATCCTGCTTGTATATCCGCAAGTAATTATAGTGAAATATAGCCTGTTACAGCGTTATAACAGTGAAAAATCACCTGTTATCGTGAAGGTAATAGATAATCTCACTTTTACTTATTCTACAATAACTCATCTCCTAGACTGACAAATCTTGCCAGATTTACAGCTATGAATTGTTTATATAAACGCTTTCAAATTTCTACTTTCATCTTGTTAACACTTGGGCTCAAGAATGTATGAAGACGCCTCCATCTCCTTTGGGAGAGTTATATTGTTTAATTAGAAATTATAATACATTCATTGAAGTTGAGGGATGTAACTTTTAAATAAATTTGTCGGTACTACATGCGCGCCACCTACTGTAAGTTAATTGTACTGCCTGTAACGCAACAAGTTGACAAAGCGCAATCTGATGAACGGTATGGCATCGCATAAAATAATAACAAACAAAAATTTATTTTCATATATAAAATTTACAAATGAATGATTTATTCGTCACACACAACACAACGCATAATATGATGAAATTAAAAATATCAAGCAGAAAAAGTATATATATACACAAATACGTATATTTACTAATACTTTTTCAAGGCCTCGTGATAACGAGTAGTTGTCGGCCATATTTCTACTATCGTAAAAAAGGAGTAAGTATAATAAAAATCTTATACATGGTTGAGCCACGCTTATAGCGCGAATATATCGGCTACACCGGGGTAGGACCACGCGCTCACAGATTATCAGCGTAAAATAGCAGCTTAGTGCTGCTGTGTATCGTATGGTGAGTCTAGAGAACCGAAAACCGGAAACAAGACATTCCATCTTAGTCCTCAGGGGTGACAACGCATCTGCATTTTGATTCTTAATTGGGGATAAATGTAGATGTCTGTGGCTTCATCCTTAGATTATGTTGTTTTACCCCCGGTATATTACGGTTGTAGCACGACGCACGAGATTGTAGACAAGCGTAAAATAGCAGCTTAATGTGGCTATGTTTCGTATAGAGAGTGTAAGGAACCGGATACTCTTTTTACTGGAAACAAAGCATTCCATCTTAGCCTTCAGGGTGACAACGCATTTGCCACATGGCCCACAGCATCCAATTACCATCAGTTGGACTGCACGCTCGTTTGTCACCCTTATTCCATAAATAAAATACAATTAAAACAACTTATATACATCAGAGATTGATTAAAAGTACTTGAACAAATTGATGTAACAAAATAAAACCAGATCATGATAATAAATTGCATTGACTTATGCACATAGCTGTTACTGTCTTTTATAAACAGTTATCGGCCACTTAATAAAATAAACGATACACTGAACAGCAGCAGTCGATATTGTATATCCCAGCCATTGCTCGATACCGTAATTCAGATTAATTTTACGTGGATGTTTTTATGGCTTTGGATTAACGAGAGTGGGTAATTAACCGCAAATTGATTTCAGTTTGATTTTTCATTAAATAAATAACCTTTGTAATATGTATTGGGTAACTCAATCTATTTTTTAATCTCTTCATCTATCATGTGGGAAGCCACTGAATGTAAATGTGATATATACGTGTGTAGTACGGTCATCCAACCAGTAATAAACGAGTGTTACAAGACAGCGGTTGTTTCATTGCATTCACAAACGTATCATTGGCGACGAGGATGGGATAATGAGACACTCATTATGCAGTTAGGTTTCTCGATGCGTCATCGCCGGCCACTTCGGCCCGCGACGTTGCGCAGACGACAGAGCGAGATAGGACGATTAAAACCGTGCTTAGGTACATGCAACACGGGTGGCCGCATAAATTAAAATGTAAATCTATTTTACCTTATTTTCATTGCAAGTCCGATTTACAATATGAGAATGGTTGTCTTTTTAGGGGACATAGGATTGTTATACCACTCGGGTTGAGAGATAGAATGTTACGCGAGCTTCATGACTCTCATTTAGGAATAACCAAAACTAAATGTAACGCTAGAAGTAGAATGTGGTGGCCCGGTATTGACCGGGACATCGAACGCTAGATCGGATCATGTGCGACGTGCGCAAGCGTGCGGGCCGCCCCGCCGCGCGACCCCCCCGCACCCTGGCCTCCCTCCACCGCGCCATGGCAACGAGTGCACATTGATTACATGACTGTAGGGCAGAGGGTATATCTGGTAATCGTCGACTCCTACAGTAAATGGATAGAATGTCTATACATGCATAACGGAACCTCATCTAATGCTTTAATAACAAAATTAAAAGGCGTTTTCTCTAATTTTGGAATACCAAATGTTTTAGTGTCCGACAACGATGTAAAAATTAATTCACTCGAGTTTCAGACATTTTGTTCATTGAATGGCATAAAATACATGACGTCACCCATTTACCATCCGCCAAGTAACGGTCAAGCTGAGAATTCAGTAAGAACATGTAAAAAAATGTTAAAATGTATATTAATTGACAATTTACCATTGCACAAAGTTCATGACATGTTATTAGGGTACTTATTTAACTATAGAAATACCGTGCATTGTACCACGGGTGAAACGCCGGCAAAGTTAATGTTCGGCAGAAATTTGCGGTCGCGTCTTGATTTGATTTTACCCTTAAAAAATCATAATTCTAATTCACTTACGGCAGCAGGAAAAATATCTTTTGAAATCGGTGATATCGTTTGGACCCGATGGTACAGTGCACGAAAAGAATCTTGGCAGTTAGGTAGAATAAAGGAAAAAATAGGAAATGAAATGTATGGAATTCATATTAGGGACATGGAGGTTTGGTGTATTAGACATGTGGATCAAATTATTAGATATACGGGTTCAGACAGTAGTCGCGACGATATTGTCGCTGCTGAGGAGACTCGTTGCCCCTCCACGTCGCCGGCTACGGTAAATGCACACACTCCCGCGCAACAGCCTATGTTTCCGGGTATAAGTAATACGGAGCAAAGTATAGAACAGGCTACGAATATGCAGACGGGTGAGCTGCAATCGCCCTCGAATACTGGAGCGCCGAATCTTGGCTCATCTGACCACGGTGAGGCAGAAGAAGTAAGTGACTGTGAGACTAGGGAGTATGAGAGGGACGACATTGCCCCCGTAGAAAGGCCTGTGGCAGAAACGGAGGCTGTGCCGTCCACAGTTGGCGATTCCCATGTACCGCCAACATTGCCACTTTTAGCCACACGCCCGAAACGTACAAGACCAAGGCTGGATTATAAAAAATATTTTTAAGTAGCGATTGTTAATTATAGTTACGCAGAGATCAAGTTTGCTAATTATTGTTAATAGTTATTATTAGTTGTTAAGTTTATGTAAAAAAAAATTTACTGTATTTAATTAAGAAACCTTGTTACCAGGTTCCAAAATTAAGTGGGGAGGAATGATATATACGTGTGTAGTACGGTCATCCAACCAGTAATAAACGAGTGTTACAAGACAGCGGTTGTTTCATTGCATTCACAAACGTATCAAAATGGCAGTGTAATTTTGTTTTGTTTAGCTATAATTAATTTTTTCGGCTCCAAAATAGCGAAATTTTCGTTGATTTGGTTGCCTTGTATGTAAATTATTTCTGTAAATGGGGAGCTACAGCCACAGAGTAGTTTAGTTCGGCTTCAGTCACAGAGTACATTATATATAGGGAAGCTTCAGTCGCCGTCGTGAGTGGACATTGTTTCGGTTGTTTTTTTATTTTCAAAAGTTTTTGTGTTTACAAGAATTGGGAACATGATAAATCCACACCCTAAGCCACTAAAACCCCTTTTTTTATTTAAAAATAGCAATTAATCGATTTAAAAAAAATATTAATAAGTTCAACAATCTTTCTAACAATGTGCTTTTTATATCATTTATATGTATAATATGATTGCTAGATACGATTTTATTCGATAAAACGTTGGAATCTTAATTTTTAGGCGATAGTAGAACATACCTTGCGCTTTCGCTTAAGGTATGCAATAAAATTGAAGTATATGCCTGTAATATTGAAATAACTGGCTACTATTGAGCTCAGGGGGTTATTTGAATGCTATTAAGACATGCAGTTACCATTACAAATCTTTCAAAATACCACTACTGAACATAGGCTTCACCCATAGATGTCTTCATAGAGGGGCCATAGTTGCAACGCTTGGCTGGCGGGTTAGCAACCGCAACGTTTTATTTCTTAGTTATTATTAGGAAGATGCTGCTGCCCATCTTCAGTTTCAGTTTCGCGTTGTCGTCTCTGAAGACACTCACTCGTCATTATGGGGTAGTGGATATTCTTACAGCACAACTATACGGTTTGTTTTGTTAAAACATAATTAACCATTTATACTTTTTTTTTCTCTGTTTGTCGATCTACGAGCTAAATTTCGAAATGGCTGAATCAAATGTGATGAAACTCTACGAACTGATAGAAAGCAGTGCCTAGAGGAATCTAGGCTATATTTTAACCGGAAATACTTAAAGATTATTCTTTCCTCGAAAAGATGTAAAATTGATAAAATAAATGGTCATTGATATAAAGCCACATTAAAAGATCCTATTCAGGCGAAGCCGGGGCGGATCGCTTATTAATAAATAAAACTATTAAAGCTTAAAAAAAACATATCATGGAACTTAATATCACCAACATACTATAGTTTTTTTTTCATCTTCTTAATCACCCCGTAAACGCCTGGACATTGGTCTTTCCGTTGTCGGGAGAAATAATAATGTTATTGACGCAGTCCAGTGTCAAAAGTCTGATGTGTTTGGGACTGTGATCGACGTTTCAGTAGCCAAGCCATCTAGTCCATTATAAAAGTCCATTGCTACATAGGCCTCCCCCATAGTTTGCCTCATAGGGGGATTATGCCGTAGTTGCCACGCTTGCCATGCGGGTTAGCAACCGCAGTTTTTTATTATTTTGAGTTGCTATCTGAAAGGTGCTGCTGCCCATCTCTTGTTTTCCCTATGTCACCTCTTACGACCCCCACGGTACGATATGGGGTAGTAGATATTCTAACACCGCCACTAAACTACTCTAAACTACACAGAGCCAAGCCTTAGCGATTCCAAATAAAGCGTCTCCCACACACAAGCGGCTTGCGGTGGCGGCTAACCGCGAACCGCGACTCCAGCCGCTGCAACAACAACAACAGGCAACACTGCGGTCGCAGTGGTGGCCTGAAGCTCCATTCGCTGTGGTGTCTGTGCTACAATCGGACGTCAGTCAATATGGCTAACCGTGAAGATGTATTTTTGTTATTATAATATTCAGCAATATTATCCCATATTTAGATAATTATCCTAATGCTTTTATAATCTAGGTCTGATATATCATAAAGAACTGGAAAATTTTGCACTGTTTCTATTAAAATCTCTGTATTTAGCGCCATTTTGCTCGCGGTACACGCAGCCTGTTGTAAAAATTTACAACCGACCGCGCTGCGGCCACCGGCCACCGATAGAGGCCGCACGTTCGCTAACAGGCACAGGGGGCGGGGCATGTGGCCGCGGCCAGTCGCTGGCAGGCCGCGATATGACCACACGTGTTTGCAGACTCACATTGCAAGCGAATACAACTGGCCGTCACTGCGACTGTCACCGCAAGCCGCTTCTATGTGGGAGACGCTTTATCTAGAGAAATTGAAGACAGTCCATTATAAACTAAACTTCTAACGTGTTGTTGAAGCTTTTATGAATAAAAAGAATCTTCTTTTTCATAATTATCATCAGCACGTAGACGTCTTCTTCGGAACATGGGCCTCTCCCGTTGGGCGGAATTGCTTGGCACGTGAATTAACGATCGCAGCACCAAGCGTCTCACACCGTTGACGCTACTGCTTGCCGCCAGTCTGGGTATTTTATGTCTAGCTTAAACTTAATTATACCGCTATCTATGGGAAGCCATAAGATTTTTCTGACATTTTTTTATCTTATTTCATTTAAAAACGTTACCCCCACACTAGAATTTTCTCCTGTATCGTAAGGTTTGTTTACATAAACTATTAATAATATATTCACATATTAATAAATTTAACAAGTTCAACAATCCTATAACTCATTTACTAATAAACATTAAATACATAATACATATAACTATTGAATGTAATGCTAACTTTGCTAAAGTACTTAGTGATTATTTATACATCTATATCTATACAAATAAATAAAATTGAAGTTTCTGTTTGTAATGTTAAAATAACTGCTTTTTACTAAATGCATATGAAAATATAATTTTTTTTAATTTTGTCTGTCCCTCTGTCTGTTTGTTCCGGCTAATCTCCAAAACGGCTGGACCGATTTTGACGGAACCTTCACTAACAAATAGCTCATCTTATTAGGAGTAACTTCGAATACTTTTATTTAAGAAAAAGAATTGGAGTTCCACGCAAAAAAATTAAAACTCATGAAATCGTAGTAAATTAAAAAAACAGGTGAAATCGCGGGGAACAGCTACTAAGTTATCGTTAGGTTAGTATATGTTATATAGGTACTAAATTATATCCAGCAATTGCTCGCAAGTCGACTTATATGGCTCCGACAGAATATCAGCATTGCGTCAACTCTTTTACTGTAGCATTATGCTGAGTTGGTGACCTTTTTGTTGGTGCAATCCATTTTTTAAATATTTATATAAATACATATTATATTTATTTTTGTAAAATTTATATTCTGCAAGTCGCAGCATTAATTAAATATTTGCGTTCTTTCTATAGTTACAATACACACGGGATGAAATAGATTGTCATACACAGACACCACACAGCATAGTGTTATTCAGCATTCATTTAGAATTTCAAACATATAGTCTACTATCATTATCAAATAAAAGAAGTATAAATTAAAAGTAGTGTTAAGATGTTTCTTTCCGATAAGCGATTTGCGAGAGCTGCAGAAAACAAAAATATAGTAAAGTTTTATCAAAGAGATGTTTATCTCTCTTTACTTGAAAATAAACACTTCTTAAGACTGTGTCAGTGAGAAATGCAAAGTAAGTAGATGTTGGAGTTATTTGAAGATATACAGGGTTATTTTTAAAAGAATAGCCAAATTTTAAACTTCAGTTCAAATATATAAACAATGATATACCGTTATTGCAGTTTTTGAAAATACGAGTAAATAAGGCTTCTACTTTTACTTTAAATTAACTCAAATTAAACGTGATTTATGGGCAACAACCCACCCGCTCCTCTATGTGCGATTCAATTCACAACATTTTTACCGACCGATCGACCCTTACGAATGTGTGCGTGCGCAGTATAATTTAAAACTAAAAATTTTGTACAACCGACTTCAATATATATTATTAAACACTAGCTGACCCCGCTAACTTCGTACCTAACAGTCGATTCTTTTTTTTTTTTTTTTCAGCTACTTACTTACTTACTTACTTATCTTCACGCACAATCCCTGACGGGGTAGCCAGAGAGAACAGATCGCCAAGTGTCACGATCCTTACAAACCTCTTTCGCTTCTTTCAGATTCATTATCTTCTTCATGCATGCACGTCTAGGTATCCGAGTACTTTTGACCCTACCCTCTTCGAGCAATTTGCTCACATGGTCTTCGAAAGTTAGTCTCGGTCTACCTCGACACCTTTTAATATTAACTTTCGCGCTATATATTTTCTTCACCATTCGGTCTTCACTCATTCGCTCAACGTGCCCAAACCACCGAAGCACGCCCTTATCAATTTTTGTGATAAGGTCATCTTTCAAACCTGCCATATTGCGAATCTCTTCGTTTCGCTTTCGGTCGGCCATGGTAACGCCGCACATTTTACGAAGAGATCGCATCTCCACTGCATTCAACTTACTTTTATGCTTCTTCTGGCATACCCAGGTTTCGCTGCCATATAACAAAGTCGGTACCAACACTGCGTTATGTATTGCAAGGCGTGCACTCTTCGCTACGCCTTGCCTTTTGACTAACGCAGTCAGGGCACCATTGACTTTGTTCCCGGCAGCGACACGCCTGTCCACATCTAAATCACATCTTCCATCCCGGCTAAAAGCACTCCCCAAGTATACAATTTCATTTACCTGTTCTAGACATTCCTGATTTACCCATATTTCACACTTCGTTCTCTCTTCGTCCCTTTCAAATACCAGAACCTTAGTTTTATTAGCATTCAAACGGAGACCTTTATTTTCACATTCCTCTTTCATACACGTGACTAATTCCCGCAGTTCTGCCTCTGATGGTGCAATAAGCACTGCATCATCAGCATACAGCAGACAATTTACTTTAATGTCACCCAA